GATAGAACGAGGAACTAGACAGGGATGTCCTCTTTCTCCGTTGCTCTTTGCGTTGGCGATGGAACCTCTTACGATTGCTATTCGCGCTGATTCCACTATAAGGGTGTTACCTGTGGTCAAAGGGTTCATAAATGCGCCCTATTTGCTGACGATGTTCTTATGTACATATCTAATCCTCGAACGTCTCTGCTGGTTTCTTCCATCTGTTTCATCGGTTTTCTGAGGCCTCCGGTCTTACGCTCAACTCATCTAAAACTGTTGCTTTAAATATCTCGTTACCCGATTCAGAGGTTCGCTACTGCCGGAAAAACTTTGATTTTCACTGGGCCCCTGGTTCTCTCCCCTATCTGGGGATTCTCCTCACTAAATCTTTATTGATGCTATACCAGGCCAACTATCTCCCGCTTTTCAAATGACTTAAAAATGACTTACTAGCCTGGCAGGATCTTTCACTTTCCTGGTTCGGTAGAATTAATTCTATTAAAATGACCTTCCTACCTAGATTATTATACTATTTCAGGACGTTACCAATTCTGATTCCCAAACGAGAACTAGTCGTACTACAGGCTGCAGTCTCCAGATTTGTATGGAGGGGAAGGCGCCCTAGGCTGAACAAATCTACCTTATTTTCTTTGAAGAGGCATGGTGGTTTGGGACTCCCTAATCTTTTCACATACTTTCAGGCGGCCCAAATAGCACAACTATCTTGTACTACGGCCAGGGGATATGTCCCCCAATGGGTTGGGATTGAGGCTCTTTCGTGCCGTCCATATGCTATTGGTACTCTCATGTGGCTTCCCAGTAGATTGCGCCCTCCTATTTTGTGTCCTACTCTACCCATTCATTGTCAGTGTGGGATAGATGGCGAGCCCGTAAACCTTTCTTCTCTCCGCATACCCCGTTGGCTCCGGTGTTTGGTAATCCTGAGTTTGCCCCGGGTTTATCTTTCGCGAGGTTCCAATGGTGGATTAATAAGGGGTTGCTACGTATTGGGGATTATTTGGATGGGGTTCGCCCTCGGTCTCTTCATTATTTTGTGAATTTTTGTGGGATGCCTCGTGGAGAGATATTTCGTTACCATCAACTTCACTCTTTTATTGATAGCAAACTTAGACTACTCACAGAACCTTGTGCGCTTACTTCCCTCGAGGTCTCCTGTGGGGCAAGTGGGATGATGCGAGGTCGCTTGTCCATTGTTTTAATGCTTCGTTGGTTGATCCCCTAACTAAATTATCTTACATGATTCTATGGGAACAGGATTTAAATAGTTAATTAGATTTGGATACCTGGCGGACTGCGGCCCATGCCCTATCGAAGATTTCGATTAACACTGATCTTGTTGAATCTAACTACAAAACGCTACTTCGATGGTATTTGGTTACTGCTCGCCTAGCCATAATGTATCCTTCCGTTTCATCTGGCTGTTTCCGACGCTGTGGTCAAGAGGGTACTATGTTCCACGTCTGGTGGAAATGTCCAGTCGTGAGTAGGTTCTGGATCCGCATATTTAATTTTCTTTACTCAGTGACAAGAATTAATATCCGTAGATCGCCGGAAGTGGCCTTGTTTAATATACTACCCTCTGATGTTCCCAAAAGATTGATTAAATTAATTGTATATATCTTATTGGCGGCTCGCATTACTATAGCTAGGAGTTGGAAGCAATCCTTGATCCTGCTGGATAGAGTGAAACAAAAACTCAACTGGATAATGGTTAATGATAAACTGACGAGTATCGTCACTGATGATGTGTCCAGATTTGAGAGGACTTGGGATCCTTGGATTAATTATATTACTGTATCATGAGTGTCTGGCAGCTGACTCCCCCCCCCCCCCCCCCCCCCCCCCCCCCCCCCCCCCCCCCCCCCCCCCCCCTCTTTATTTTTTTTTTTTTTTCTTTCACTTAAGAGTACTTTCCTTTTCGTCTCTCTCTTTCTCTCTTTTTCTACTATTCGTTGAAACATTTTTTTTCTCTCTGTTATTTTTGGTTCGTTTTGGTTTAATTTTTGTTTATTGATCTATGAAACCTGTATGTTCTGATGGCTATGACATTTTTTGTGTGAATTGTAATGCTATTGTCTGCTACTCTTTTTATGTACCTACCAGTGTTATGATTATGATTCTACATCTTGTTCCACCATGCGGGTGGGCCCTTTTTTTTCTCTTTTATTGTTTGCCATCTTGTTTTACGCTTTAATATGCTTGTTTCTCAATAAAAATATTGAAATATAAATATGAAAACAATGTGGTGACCTGGATCACATACTAGGGAGGTGAAAACACCCAGTAATTGTGTAATCGTTTCTCTGAGGAACGGAATAGAAATTAATAAAAAGAACTCTAAAAAGTATAACCAGATGGGGAAACAACCTGGAGATGTGTGTATGAATATAGAATTATGTATGTCAATTATATAAACACATGCATAAGCCAACGGACAGCCACAAGGCCACACCTACAACGACCTTTCTGCTTAATCTATTGTGTATGTGTCAATGTCCTCATTAAGTCCATCTGGGGTGTAAGTGTTCAGTTTGTGTATCCAGTACGTTTCTTGTTTACACAACTTTAGAAACTTTTCATTATCTGTGAGGTGGCTGGGCCATGGCTTCTATAACAAAAATTTGTAGTTCCCTAAAATTCTTATTACGTTTAAGCGAGAAGTGCTGAGGCACACTATGCTTGGTGGAACCCTCTTCAATGAGTCTCCTTAGTTCTCTCACCCTTTTCCATAGTGTGTTTTGTGCAGGCAACATAAAGTAAATTACTTGAATCACGTACTGGCTTGAGCATGTAATACACTGACCTATTGTGTATAATAAATATTACCTACTGAGTCTTTGAAGATGTTTTCGACCTGCTCATGGTACCCAAACCCAAAGGGGGGTATTCGCCCTATCCTGGTCCTAAAATCTCTCAACAAATTCCTTCAAATTCCCAAATTTTGCACGGAGTGAAGAAAGTCAGTAATTGCCTCTTTGACACAAGGGGATCACCTGGCATCCATAGCCACAGTACAGTCACGGTGGCGGGCGCAAGCATACACCCCCTACCTGGAAGCACAGATCACATACTAGGTACATGATCCAGGAAGACTGCTTTGCCGCCGTACATCCATGAGATGCAGTCAGCAAGCAGTTATAGTATACATGGGTTGGCCATGGGAGATGTTTCAAAAAATTTACTACTCTAACAACTCTTGGACTGTAATTATGTATTCTTTTATCCTTGCTTTTGGCTCCTTTCACATGGGTGGGACCGATCAAGTCTGCCTGTCCATTTTTCAGGCGGACCGATCGGACATCCATTGCCCTTTATGGTGCAGTGAATGTAAACAGACTTGTGTCCATTTACAGGTGAAACTCAAAAAATGAGAAATATGGTGCAAAAGTTCATTTATTTCAGTGCAGCAACTTAAAAGGTGAAACTAATATATGAGATAGACTCATTACATGCAAAGCAAGATAGTTCAAGCCGTGATTTGTCATCATTGTGATGACTATGGCTTACAGCTCATGAAAACCCCAAATCCACAATCTCAGAAAATGAGAATATTCCATGCAATCAACAAAACACGGATTGTACATAGAACAATATCGGACCTCTGAAAAGTATAAGCATGCATATGTACTCAGTACTTGGTTTGGGCCCCTTTTGCAGCAATTACTGCCTCAATGCGGCGTAGAATGGAAGCTATCAGCCTGTGGCACTGCTGAGGTGTTATGGAAGACCAGGATGCTTCAATAGCGGCCTTCAGCTCTTCTGCATTGTTCGGTCTCATGTCTCTCATCTTTCTCTTGGATGGGACTTATTGCACAGGTGGCCACCTATCACGGGACCACGCTTGGAGTCCCTGAGCTCCTGAGAGCGACCCATTTCTTTCACCAATGTTTGTAGAAGCCGTCTGCATGCCTAGGGGCTTGATTGTATACACCTGTGTCCATGGAGGGGATTGGAGCACCTGAATCACATGATATGGAGGGGATTGAAACACCTGAATCACATGATATGGACGGGATTGGAACACCTGAATCCCATGATTGGGAGGGCGGGGACAATACGTTTGGCAATATAGTGTGTGTTAGGAGTAGCAGTATATATGCAGAAAGGAAGCACCTTCAAAAAGTCACTTCTTTTTTTTCTTGTGTGAAAACTACAAAAAGAACAATCAGGAGGGTGCAATGCCTACTGCATTATCAACAATTTATTGTTCACAAAACATAGATGCCAAATGGATACTAACAGAAGTACAAGGTAAAATAGCATAAAAACCACAAGATACCACAGCAAGGGGAATTGCGTGTATCCATGCAATCTAGCTGGACTGTCAAGCTGATGTGTCACCAACATGATGTTGGCTAGTATAGCTCTGAGGAGTACGCCTCCGAAACACGTCAGCTTGCCAGCCTAGCTGGGGTGCATGGCCAAATGTGATTCCCCTTGCTGTGGCATCTTGTATTTATTTGGTGATTTTACTTTCCACTTCTGTGAGTATCCATTTGGCATCTTTGTTTTGTGAACAATAAATCGCTTATAATGCAGTAGGCATTTTGCGCCCTCCTGATTTTTCTTTTTTGTAGTTTTCACAAGTCTTCCCTGGTTAAGGAGGGCAGCATCTACTACACATTCCTGGCAAAGTCCATGATCCATTGTATATCATACATCATTTGTGGTCATCTTTGGTAGACCTCTGAGCGTTGAAATGTACAGAGTTTTTCATGTGTGTACATCTTTGTATCTCTTGGTTGACATTTGTACTATAAGGGATATGATGAGCAAATTATCCATCAAGATGCCCTTTAACCGGCTCCCTCCCGCCCGCCATATAAGGTAATGGCGGGTGCAAGGCGGTTCTCTCGTTCTGGGAGGATGTCATATGATGTCCTCCCACTCTAACCGGCTCCGGAAACGCATGGCGATCGGCGGTGTGTGCTGTGTCTCTCGGACACAGCGGATCACCGATCAACAGAAAGAGCCGAAGATGTTGGCTCGGTCATGTGATCAGCTGTGTCCAATCACAGCTGATCACATGTAAATAGGGAAATGCCGGTTATCGGCATTTCACTCCTCACGAGCTGTCACGCCGACAGATCGAGAGGAGAGGAGAGCCGGTAATTGGCTTTCCTTGGAGGGGACATGGGCACTCATCATCAGGGCACTGATGATCAGTGTGCCCTGATGATCAGTGTGGCCCCAGAAGTGCCACCTGTCAGTGCCCATCAATGCCAGCTGTCAGTGGTCATCTATGCCACCTGTCAGTGCCCATCAGTGTCTCATCAATGCCACATATCAGTGCCCATCTGAGCTGCCTTTCAGTGCCACCTATCAGTGCCAGTCAGTGCCACCTATCAATGCCAGTTAGTGCCGCCTAACAGTGCCAGGCAGTGCCGCCTATCAGTGCCATATATGAGTGCTGCCTTTCAGTGCCCATCAGTGATGCCTGTCACTGCCCACCAGTGGCACCTACTAGTGCCTCCTCATCAGTGCCCATCAGTGCCTCCTATCAGTGTCCATCACTGCACCCTCATTAGCGCACATCAGTGAAGGAGAAAAAATACCTTGTTTACAAAATTTTATAACATAAACGTGTTTTTTTGGTTTTTTTTTTCAAAATTGTCAGTGGTTTTTGGTTTGTTTAGCAAAAAATAAAAAAGTCAGAGGTGATTAAATACCACAGAAAGAAAGCCCTATCTGTCTCAAAAAAATGATAAAAATTTCATATGGGTACAGTGTTGCATGACAGCGCAATTGTCATTCAAAGTGCGACAGCACTGAAAGCTGAAAACTGGCCTGGGCAGGGAGGGGGTATAAGTGCCCGGTAGGCAGGGAGGGGGTATAAGTGCCCTTTAGGCGAGGGGTTAATACATTCATAAGGCATATAGAGTAAAATGAACTAGAAATGTATTTTACTTCTTCTCGTTGTTTTATAGATGTTCTTACTATATCTGAGATCTCAGGGGATCGTCGTATTACTCATATGAAGAAAACAACTCTAACTTGGCAGATAACACAATTCGGACAAAAAGAAATCCAGATAAATGTATTTCTGAAAAGACGTAATGCCATAAAAAAAAACAGTTTATTGCCTCCTGGGAACCTACAGAATGGACAGCATCCAATAATTCTATTGTTCTGCCTCTTCTGGAAGGAGATGCTGAACACCAAGCATTGTTACCTGTTAAGATGACAAAATCCTGTATAGGAAAGTACGAGTATCTCTGCTCCATTACTATCACCCCGAGTGCAGATAAAGATGACGGCGCCGTGCTTGGTGTAGAGGTGGAACACGCTTCCCTAAAACAGACCATCTCTGCATGCAGGACTCTGAATGTGTACAATACAGTAGCAGGTAAGTAGTGGGTATGCTGTAGGTACTGAAAAAGGGTTTTATACTTAAAGTGTTTCCTAAACCCCAGACCTTGCATTCACTATATCTGCTCTCCCCGAATCCTGCATTCACTATATTCCCTCTCCCCGGACCCCGCATTCACTATATCCGCTCTCCCCGAATCCTGCATTCACTATATTCCCTCTCCCCGGACCCCGCATTCACTATATCCGCTCTCCCCGGACCCTGCATTCACTATATCCGCTCTCCCCGGACCATGCATTTACTATATCCGTTCTCCCCGGACCCAGCATTCACTATATCCGCTCTCCATGGACCCTGCATTCACTATATCCGCTCTCCCCGGACCCCGCATTCACTATATCCGCTCTCCCCCGGACCCCGCATTCACTATATCCGCTCTCCCCAGACCCAGCATTCACTATATCTGCTCTCCCCCCGGGCCTCGCATTCACTATATCCGCTCTCCCCGGACCCCGCATTCACTATATCCGCTCTCCCCGGACCCCGTATTCACTATATCCGCTCTCCCCCGGGCCTCACATTCACTATATCCGCTCTCCCCAGACCCCGCATTCACTATATCCTCTCTCCCCGGGTCTCGCATTCACTATATCCGCTTTCCCCGGACCCTGCATTCACTATATCTGCTCTCCCCAGACTCCGCATTCATTATATCCACTCTCTGCGTCCCTGCATTCACTATATCTGCTCTCCCCGGACTCAGCATTCACTATATCCGCTCTCCCCGGACCCCGCATTCACTATATCCGCTCTCCCCTCCCCTGACCCCGCATTCACTATATCCGCTCTCCCCCCCACGGACCCCGCATTCACTATATCCGCTCTCCCCGGACCCCGCATTCACTATATCCGCTCTCCCCGGACCCCGCATTCACTATATCCGCTCTCCCCGGACCCCGCATTCACTATATCCGCTCTCCCCGGACCCCGCATTCACTATATCCGCTCTCCCCGTACCCCCGCATTCACTATATCCGCTCTCCCCGGACCCCCCCATTCACTATATCCGCTCTCCCCGGACCCCGCATTCACTATATCCGCTCTCCCCGGACCCCGCATTCACTATATTTGCTCTCCCCGGACCCCCGCATTCACTGTATCCGCTCTCCCCGGACCCCGCATTCACTATATCCGCTCTCCGCGGATTGTACAGACTGGTTGTACTGTTGTGGTGTTATGTGATAAAAGATGTTATACTTACCTGCTGTGTGTAGTGGTTTTGCATAGAGCAGCCTGGATCCTCCTCTTCTCAGGTCACCCGCTGGCACTCCTGGCTCCTCCTTCCTATCAAGTGCCCCCATAGCAAGCAGCTTGTTGGGCCAATCAAGAGAGGAGAAAGAGGAGATGGCATAAGGGATGGATAACAAAGTGTGGGGAAAAATGGTGAAAATGTCTAGAACTTTTTTGATGGTTTTAACTTTCTAGTAGAAGCAGTGTTACTATGGAGAAGGAATTTAGCCCTAGACCAGCAATGAGACTTTTCTGTAACCTCTGAGAGAAAGCAACAATTCAAGCCCCCCCCCCCCCCCCCCCCCCCCACCCCCTCCCCCCCCCCCAGCCTCACTATCAGTGAGTTTGTCAGTGTATTACAGTGTAACGCAGTGCCACTTACAGTGTCCCTGAGCACTAACCACACCAGTCACAGTGTCCCTAAATGAGTGCAGTCAGCTAGAGATGGGCTGGATGTTCGAGTCGGACTCATTAGCCACATCAGTAACAGTGTTGCCAGACCAGTGTACACCAGAAACAATGATAGTATTTCTAAAATTCCCACCACACCAGTGTAGGCATCACCAACCCAGCCAGCAACTGCACTGCTAATCACTGGCCACAGTGTCACCAGACCAGTATGAGCCATCCAACAGTGTTTTTAACTCTACCACACCAGTTCAGGGGTCACCAGACAAGCTCGACCAGCAAGAGTATTCCTTATCACCACACACAGTCACAGTGTTGCCAGACCAGCATCAGAGTCCAGCAGCAGAGCCAATCAAACCAGCAACATTGTCCTGATCACTAGCCACACCAGTGCCAGTGTCGGCAGAGCCACAAGTCAGCAACAGATCCTTGTCACACCAATACAATGTCACCAGAGCCTGACTGTGTCAGTAACCTGATTGCTAGCCAGAACCAGTGTCCTCAGTGCCAACCACTGCCAAACGTCCCAAATAAAGTACACAAGTGAGGATGTCTCAAATTCTGAGCATGACAGATGGGGTAGCATGAAGGAACTCTCAGATTCGGATTCAGAATATGAACCTGTCAAAAAATCAGCAGTTCACCGATAGCCACCTATGATTCCCTACTAAGAGTCAGGCATACTGAACATCCTACAGAACTGCAACAGACCAGCACCAGTAGAGCAGTACATACTGATGTACCAAACACTTCTCCAGCATGTAGTGTTATAACAGCAGCCACAAAAATGAGGGCACATGCAAGTGTCCCAGAGACTACCCCCTACTTCAGCAGTGCCTTTCATCCATTCACAGCCCAACCAGGCATTCATGTAGAAAAAGAAAAATAGTTTTTCTTTAACAAGGGAGCCCCCCAGATCCCGCCCCCCCATATGAAAGAGTATGGGTACATAGTACCCCTACTCATTCACCAAAAAGTGTAAAACGTTAGTAAAAACACAAGAGTTTTTGACAAGTTTTTTAGTAAAAAAAAAAATTGTCCCCCGAAGTAGATCCAACATCAGTCACAATGAATGCCAGCCACTGACCCAAACGTCAAGCTCTGCACCCGACGAAGGCTCCTACCGTCTGACAGCTCTTAAATGTTGTTAATAAGTATTGTTAGGCTGCTTTTTTTTTGACAGTTCTACCTTCCAGGACCTTTTCTGTGTTACAGCAATGCAGCTGTGATTAATCAAAGCTGACTTGTCATGTACTGGGACAGGGAGGACTGGACATGCTACACATGCCCTGTGTACAAGTATGACCTTTTTTGTGAATGTGCAACATGCCCAAAGACTGCAACTAATTAAACATTTTAACAACCACATAATAACAGTGTGGCACTTTTCTCATTCCACAATAAAATGTGACTTCAAATAATATATTTCCTGGGGGAGGGGCTTGGTGACGTCATGGCGCTTGCGGTCAGCTGACCCACTCCGGAGAGAGATCACAGAGGGGAATACAAAAGGAGCTTCCCATTATTAGATGTTGTCAGCTGTAAACAATATATGCGAATATCACTGGGTGCAATGGAGCACCTGGATCATGTATGCTGGGTGGAGAAGGAGTTACAAGAAGCCGCTGAACCAACACGGAAGAAGGATTTCGGTAGATGTTACACCATCACTATATGTCCACCTAGAGGACACAAGTTATTTTTGACCAAACTTAGTTGTGAGGTCAAAAATTTCAGATGAGGGCACAGCACAGGGTCACTGATGGTGGAGGTGCACTGTATATGAAGAAAGAAGATGAGGAATATTGATGGAAAAGATTTTTATTTGGAAGGATTATGAATAAGGAATTACTGGAACTATTTCACCAGATTTTTGCATATTATTTGTAGTATTTTTCACCAGTTCAGTGATATTGGGAATATTATTTGAAGTCACATTTCATTGTGGTATGAGAAAAGCGTGGCACTGTTATTATGTGGTTGTTGTTATGTAGCACATTTACAGTTAGGTCCATATATATTTGAACACAGGCACAATTTTAGATTTTTTCAGGTATTTACCAAAACATATTCAAGCTCTAGTTCTATAATGGATATGGGCTGAAAGTGCACACTCTCAGGTTTAATTTGAGGGTATGTACAGTACATCCAAATTGGAAGAAGGGTTTAGGAATTACAGCTCTTAAGAGTAGCCATCGCCCTTTTTCAAAGGACCAAAAGTAATTGGACAATTGAATCTAAAGCTGTTTCATGGCCAGGTGTGGGCTACTCCCTTTGTTATTTCTTCATCAATTAAGCAGGTAAAAGGTCTGGAGTTGATTCTAAGTGCGGTATTTGCATTTGGAATCTATTGCTGTGAACCTACATCATGCGTTCAAAGGAGCTGTCCATGAAAGTGAAACAGGCCATTGTAAGGCTTCAAAAACTAATCAAATCCATCAGAGAGATCGCAGCAACATTAGGAGTGGCCAAATAAGCAGTTTGGTACATTCTGAGTAAAGAAGAACGC